TATGTGATACTCAACAGTCCGTTGAGGGAGGTTCCATAGTTCTTTATTCATTGCATCATAGGTAGACACTGAGGTGGCTTCCAGTGATTCCCTGTCACACATAATATCATGTAAGCACTGTTTTTTCCTTTTTGCAATGATGCTGGAGGTGGGACCCAGGGCCTCACACACGTTAGGCAGGCATTGTGCCATGGAGGTGCGTCCTCAGCCTGTTTACCACACTTTGAGACAGATCCGTTAAATAGTCTGTTAGACTGGTTTTAAATTTGTGATCTAGGGCCGGGGAGATGGCTCAGTGGAATAAGCGCTTCCCTGGCAAGCGCAAGGGCCTGAGTTTCAATTCCCGGTTCCACCAAAAAAAAAAAAAAATTAAATAAATAAATAAATAAATAAATTTGTGATCTTCTTGCCTTACCTCCCTAATGATTGAGATTGCAGGCGTGCCCCCCCCCCCCACTGGTTTAGGCAAGTATTTCTGGGTTGGGACAGATGCAATGTTGGCTTTGAACCTACGCCCTTTGCACCAAACTATATCTTGAGGCCATTTATTTGTTTATTTAGAGTCATAGTCTTGCTATAGCACTGAATTGTCTTGGCTGAGATCAAATTAGTGATCTTCCTGCTTCACTTTCCAGAGTGCTGAGATTACAGACATGCCCCCACTAACCCCATTTATGTTAGCATTTTTCTTCCTACAGCTTTGCACATATGACACATGTGTGAGACTTTCATATATATATATATATATATATATGTAGCCTTGCTGTGTAGCTCAGGCTGGAGTTGAACTTACTATGTAGCCCAGGCTGGCCTCAAACACGTGGTTGTCCTCCTGCCTCAGCCTCTCAGCACACCACCACCACCATGCCTGGCTGGATATAATCTTCAAAGCAGAAAAACATTGAAAGTCATATTTATTTTTATTATTTTTTTAGAGATACTGCTAGTTATCCTTAAAGTCTATATTAGCTGACACCAATACTAAGAGTAAGTGAGCTTATCTTTTTGCCTACATCTTGCATATGTGATAAGAATTTATTTATTTATTTATTCTATATTAGCTGACACCAATACTAAGAGTAAGTGAGCTTATCTTTTTGCCTACATCTTGCATATGTGATAAGAATTTATTTATTTATTTATTTATTTATTTATTTATTTATTTATTTTTCAGAACTGGGGATTGAACTCAGGTCCTTGAGCTTGCCAGGCAAGTGCTTATTCCACTAAGCTATCTCCCCGGTCCCAGAATTTATTAAAAAAACCCTCATTACTTATATTTTGTGATACTTAGTCAGTGGAACTAAGCCTCTTAAGTTTATTGGGCATTTATATTCCCTTTTCTATGACTTGTTTTAAATGATTGCCCTTGCATAGCAAAGAACTTAAATTTGCCCAGAGAGAGATTGCCCTCAGCTCCTGGGAACTAATCACTAACCCGCTGGCATATCAGACTTGATAGAAATGCCTTGATTCAGGGTGGGGTTGGCCCCAATGGAGTCTGAACCACATGATTGGGGTGGGGGAGATTCAGCTACACTGTGCTGACGTGGCTTGGGCTGGAGCTTTGAACGCTGGATAAGAGCTCACACAGCTGGTCTCAGAGAAGCAGGAGACTGACATTAGCTTTGTGGACCATCAGCCATGCCTCTGATGTGAAACCTGGATGAAAACTTGACCCTAGCTAGGATGGTGGCACACATGTGTAATTCCAGCACACTGGGAGGTTGAGGGGTGGAAGATGAAAAGTTTCAGCCCTGGTTGGACAATTTAGCAAGACTCTAGCTAAAAAA